AAAAAATATTTTAGCGGAGAGGTATGCAGTCTGCGGCGAAAACGAAGAGTTTAAGTTATGCGGCAGCGCTTGCCCTCCAACGTGTTCCCAACCTGAACCTGACGCCTGCATTCCAATTTGCATAATGGGCTGTTTCTGCAAATCAGAATACTACAGAGACGAAACTACCAACAAGTGTGTGAAGCGCGATCAATGTTCTGAGATTACAAGTAAGTATTTATAGGGTAGGTAAGTAAGACAGTAGAACAAGACAAGAAGTAGTAGTGCGACTGGTGATCATGAGGTCCCGGGTTCGAATCCCGGGTCGGGCCAAAAAAATCAGTTATTGAGTTTTTCCATCTAGAAATTCTCAGTAGCTGCCCGGAGTCAGGAATCCGGCGGTGTTTCACCCCCGTGCCTCGGAAAGCACGTAAAGCCGTTGGTCCTGCGCCTGATCTCTCTCCGGTCGTGTCGGTTTACCGTCCCATCGGACTATGAGAGTGAGGGAATAGAGAGTGCACCTGTGCTTGCGCATACACTTGGGCACTATAATCCTGTCCTGCGCAGATGGCTAGTCTCCGCTGAGACTGGCCGCCGTGACCGAAATTCGGTCTGGAGGACATTATTATTAAGTAAGACATTTTGCGTTTGTCATATTTTTGATTTTACACAAAGACTATTTTACAGCTAAGCGCTTTTTTGAAGCGGTTGTCAAGCGCACACACACGCACTGATTCAATGATGTATGTAAGTCAATATTGCCCAACATGTTGCTTAGCAAATATTGCCTTCCAAGCACCGATATGTGTGTGATGTGTGTGTGTGTGCGTGTGTGTGTGTGTGTGTGTGTGTGTGTGTGTGTGTGTGTGTGTGTGTGTGTGTGTGTGTGTGTGTGTGTGTGCGGGTGCGCGTACGCGTGAGCGTGTCCGTGTGCGTATGCGTGTGCGTGTGCGTATGCGTGTGCGTGTGCGTGTGCGTGTGCGTGTGCGTGTGCGTGTGCGTGTGCGTGTGCGTGTGCGTGTGTGCGCGTGTGCGCGTGTGCGTGCGTACGTGCGTGCGTGCGTGCGTGCGTGTGTGCGTGTGTGTGTGTGTGTGTGTATCTACCAGTCTCATAGTGAGACAGTTGGGGTATTCTATTAGTGTAGGCAAGGAAGATCGTGTTGCTGAGAGGCTGCCCTGTGTTACATTGAGTTGGGTTGTGTTGCTGTTGGTTTGCACGTTACAACAGTGTGTGTTTGTTTAGTAGGTTGTGACGGGAACATGTTACGTTTGGTCGAACTGTATTGCTCTATACTGAACGTATGGTGCAGTGCGCTGTTTTGTTGCAGATAGTGATCGGTTGAGCATCCGCTCTCACACCTTTGTAATTTTTGGCAATTGGTCTCCAGAATGGTTGCAGATAGTAAAGGAGAGTTGGTTTCCGAGTAACATTAAATTTGTTGTCGTATTTACGACATTGTCGTATCACTAAAGTGTAGAGTAAAAGTTTAAAGTAAATTGTTGTAAAGTCAAAAGTAATAGTAAATATTTTTTATTTTAGCGGAGAGGTATGAAATCTGCGGCTAAAACGAAGAGTTTCAGTTATGCGCCAGCGCTTGCCCTCCAACGTGCTCCCAACCTAAGTGAAATATTTTTGTTCCATTTATGAATATTAAAGGTACCGGACAAAAGTGAAATATTTTTATTATTCCTTAACGTATCCAAATATGTGTTAACAAATGTTAAAAGAAATATTGAAGGTACCTAGACGAGTTATAGTTTGCATTCAGTGGAAATTTAACTTGCTCGAGTTTTGTTACTATTTGATGGTTCATGGGAAACATGATTTACATAGGCTACATTTTAAAGTTCGAAATGTTTAGCGATGTACCGAAAAAATGTTTTTAATTTTAACGTGCTATAAATTAAAAAAAAATATAAGCCTTTTTGTATTCTAATGTATTGATCAGTGTTACAGTTTACTCAGAATATTATGTAGTTGACAAAATTGAGGTTTCATTTGAGAGGAGGAGTACGTACGTAAGAGAAGAGGAGGAGGAGGAGAGGAGGAGTCGCTACAACAATGAATGAGGAAGGTCTCGTGACGGCTAATTGGACACAGTCAAGTGCGGCCGAGCCCTGATAAAATTGAGGCTACACCGCTACAAACTACAATTTCTCGGCGGATCTTACCACAAGCCAACTCAAGCGGCCACCGAACACATGATGCTTTGGCGCGGCAAATGGAGGACGTGCAAGGAGAACATCTTACAGGCAGGGTCGTGGTCGTAGTCGTGGTAGAGGTGAAAGCCTACAGTTAATATCCATTCGATAAATAGCTATTAGAAGTCCACAATATAACGCTGAAATTCATGATATAGACGGCTACAGGGATTAACAGCTTAATGCAAACTGCCTACATAAATAAAAGTACTGACGAATGGGAGTGGTATCAGTTTTATGAGCAATACGTAGATGATGATGATTTAAACTACATAGTAACCTGCACCAATACCAAATAAGTATTAGAGACCGGTAAATCGATGGGACTAACTCTAAAGGAGCATAAGGTATATATAGGTATTACCATGATCATGTCCACTTTACAGTATCCACAAATTTCCATGTAATGGTCTGAAAAATGGAAAGTTTAAGTAATAGCTAGAGCTATGACCCTTAATAGATTTTTTTTAATTAGACTGAGATTGAAATGCGTTTATGACCCTGAAGTGACCTATGAACAAAAAATCCAAAAAAATATGGAAAGTCCAGCCTTTATTTGATCGCATATAAGCCGCATGTCATGAACAAAATCGTCATCAGGGAATGAGTATTGACAAAATGATATATAACTTCCCTTTTACTGGGAAATGTCCAATGCGGCAATACTGTCCTAAAAAATCTAACCCAGTAGGTCTCAAAATTTTTGTTTTAGCCTCGCCAAAATGTACAGTTTGCAACAATGCAGTATATCAGGGAGATTCTACATTCCTTCACTTAACCAAGGATTTTGTTTGAGAGAAGCAGCCGTAATTCATATGACTAGAAGTTTAGTTCCGGGACATATACTATTTTTTGATCGTTTCTTCACAACGGCTAAACTTTGTCATGAATTGCTAAGGCTAGAATTTCATGCCACAGGCACTATTATGAATAATAGAATCCCGAAAAACTATATTTACTGATGAAAAGAAGTTTAAAAAGAAAACGAGAGGAAGTAGCGAAGTAAAAGTTAGAGAAGACCGAAAACTCGCTGTGACAATGTGGCTTGATAATAAGCCTGTCCTAATGATGTTGACTTGTTATTGCGATCAAGATCATGATGAATGCGAGCGATGGTCAAAGAAAAATAAGGCATACGAAAAAGTGAGAAGGCCAGACGTTATCAAAAATTATAACGAAAAAACTGGCCAAGTATTTGTCGGTCCACGCACAATGTAGAAATAGGGTTCCGTAGAAGCCCGTCACAATACGTGGGCTTTCTTGGTAATGAGCATAATAAAGGAGTTGACGATCTAACTATAGTAGTCAGATCGTCAACGACTAAAATGGGCCCAAATAGAAAGATCGTAGATCGATGAAGGACTTATTTTCAAACCAGCCTTACAGGATGTGGTATTCAAAAAAGATTAAAAAACTTTTCGTTTTTGATAATAATACCCTGTCTATCCCGCAAATGAAGAAGTAAAGCTAATAGTAGTAATGTATATAAGTCGTTTTTTTCATAAAATGTTTATTTTTAACAATTTACAAGAACACCACCTCACTCTTACTTCAGATCCAGCCACGCGGACGAATGAGTCGGGCGGTTCCCTATCCCTTCCGCGTCCTAGTTTATGGAACCATGGGGCCTCGTTCTTGTGGCCCCATGATTCCATGAAACATCGAACCATCGAACATCGAGCACGTGGTGAATTACTACTTCAAATTGCAACTTACAATTTTATTGTTAAATGCGCTGATTTACCCCGAGTAGCTCGCGTACCAGATCAAATATAAATAGTTTAATAGAAGTATTATAATTTTTTTTAATTTTTAGATCGCTGCCCCGAGAACGAAGTCTATGACATGTGTAAAGCAGGCTGCTAGCCATCTTGCAACAACACTAACCCATTTTGCTCGAGGATCTGCAAGGCTGACTGAGCTCTCCGGGTCTACTAAGCATTGATGACGGTGATTGTGTCAGCGTCGATAAGTGCTTTGAGAATGGGCCTTACACTAGTTTTCTGTACAACTATTTGAACGCCACTTGTAGATTTCTGTTTTTATCCTACTATTCCTTAAAGCCTCTATCTATAGCTATCGATAAATTATTTACGCATTAATTGAATTTAATAAAATTATTGATAAATAAATAAAATGGGTCTTTTTGTTTAAGAATAAGGTTGATGAAGAACAAGCACACATATACGCATGCTTATTTTGCAAATAGCCAAATTTGCAGAGGAGGTTCAGAATAAGTAATTCAGGAAAATGGTGAAAAAATTACAAACATTCTGTCCTTTTTATCTTTTAAATTCAAAATGCGTGGTAATGCTTTATATTAGTTGATTTTACTGCGCACGTACACATAAGGGACGATCGGTAGGCAAAAACGTTCTTGCTTTTAAATCACTTTCAATTTGGGATAATTTCAAATAAAAGTAAAGGCCTTATTTACTCGTATTTAAAAAAAAACTGCAATAACGGTATTTATATATTTCCACTTAAGTTTAAAATTTGGCACCTCTGAAAAATAACCCTGTATATCGTCTTCCACTTATCATCCTTGAGGACAAAGACGGAATACCTCGTTTCCTGTAAAAAAAAAGGTCTCCGGCGGTAAAGGTCTCATTGTTAGGTATCTATAAATTTCACCATCTATTCTCGATTAAGACTCGATATGCAGCACTGTCACACCTGAAGACGTAAGTTGTAATGCCTGTACCAATATAAAAAGTCCGGTTCGTGTCACTTACGATTAGGAAAAAACAGCCATTTATCGATAATATTAATAAAGCCTTAAAATATGTTAAACATATTTAATAATAATAATAATATATTTATGACATTAAATTAAGTTTAGCAATTAAAAGACTAAATAAAATGATGCTTAAACTGTAGCCTGGTACATTGCCTTTATTTGTTACTGGTAGAGATATGACATTCGCGACCTGAAACAATAGTTCAATTTAAAAAAAATTGAAACGAACTCACAATCAATGTACTTAACCCTTTCGCTGTCCCGTGCACTACATATAGGTCATTGCTATTGTCTTACTATTGTGTCTGCAAACCGGACAGCACTTCAAATAAAGCAATTGCTGGCTACGGATGCATTGTCACCTCTGAGGACTAAGATGGAATGCGTCACAGCCTGTAACTAATTATAATAACTCCTAAATCTCTATACTCTTTAGACCGCACTGATTTTTGGTAGTAGAGGGAGGAAAGAAGGTGGTATCTACTATAGTCTCCCTAGGCAGAAAAGGTTCATTAAAACATACTTTTTTATAGAATAAGGGTGACAAACGAGCACACAGTCCACCTCATGATAAGTGGATGCTGTGGCCCATAGACATCTACATTTATTCTCAATTAAGAATCAAAATGCAGATGCGCCGCCACAATTAGGACTGAGATGGAATGCCCTGTTTCCAGTAAGAAGGGTCTCCGGTTTTCTACACTCACCATACGAAACACAGCAGCATTGAGCTGCTATTTTACGCTGGTATTCTGTGAGAGCGTGGTCCTACCCCGGTCGAGCAGACCCATTCGTGCTGCAACCACAATAAAGCTACAGCATAGCTCTACCACGTAAAAAATTACTTTTTTAATTAGTAAATATTTTTTATTCTAGAAATAACCACCTTTCGTCCCGTGATTGTCCTAAAACATGACTATCGGAAATGTTAGAAAGACTTTCATCACCATCATAACAGCCCTTTACAAGTACACTGCTGAACATAGGCCTGTCCCAAGGAATGCCACAAAGCACGGTCCTGAGCAACTTCCTCCATATCTTACCAGGTCGTCACTCCATCTAGTGGGGGGCCGCCCTATACTTCGCTTACCGGTATGATACCGCCACTCGAGAACCTTTCCCCATCGGTTGTCGGTTCCTCGAGCTAAATAGAAAGATCTTATGGCTTTTCATAGATGGCCCTGTAACGATGCCGTTTACGCAAGGCATATAGTACGAAGACCGGCGACGAGAAGCATCGTCAGAGCTACGAAACGGTACTGCGATCTTCAATCCGCCTGCCACGTGGAAAGATTAAGGCAAAGATGGAAAGACAAAAAGGGTAAAAACACAAATCCATCTAGCGTTATGTGGATGCAACAGGTGAAGTGCATTGGCTCATATGGAGTACATCTATTATCTTTTTCCTTGTCGATATTCCACGCATTAGAACCAAACGTTTTGCTTCGTCTTTTGTAATGCGTACCTACAGCAAAGGAGTGGAATAATTTAAATAAAACTAATTTTACGGATTTTATGGCGTAGGTATATTAACTTAAAAAAAGAAAATCCGTAAAATTAGTTTTATTTAAATATGTAGTGTTCGCGTAAATATCAGAAATCATAGTGGAATAATTTGCCGGAGTCTATCTTAACGTCCGAATATAATCTGGGCGTCTTCAAGGCAAGAGTGAATAGGCTTTTGTTACGATAAGACAGTGCGATTAATATCTAAGGCTGCATGCAGGTGGGATTGTGTTTAAGCACTGGCTTATAATAAGTAAAAAAAAAATCATAAAGCAGATGCGTTATCATCCCTGAAAAATTGGTTAAATTGCCACGTTTAGAATAAACGTCTTCGCTTTTTATTATTATCTGTATAGACGGTCTCAAATATATACATTTGAGAGTAAACAGTATTATCACTGCATATTATGCGTCTGCCAGCATGGTAGGGTTCATTTTTTCTATAGGATAAGGGCGACAAACGAGCATACAGTCCACCTTATGGTAAGTGGTTGCTGTGGCACATAGACATCTACATTTATCCTCGATTACGAATATCAAAATGTAGATGCGTTGTCACCCGTGAGGACTACGATGGAATGCCTCGTTTCCAGTAAAAAGGGTCTCCGGTTCTCTACACTCACCATACGAAACACAGCAGCATTAAGCTGCTATTTTACGCTGGTATTCTGTGAGAGCGTGGTCCTTCCCCGGACGAGCCGACCCATTCGTGTTACAACTATACCAGAAATATAGCTGCAGCATGGCTCTGCCACGTTATCACATATCATTTAAATGCATGGCTTTTGAACTTTTCATGTCATAATTTTTCTTCCTTTTAAAAATTGTAGAATGTAGTGACATCTATTGCCGGTAAATCAAACTTTTTATAAAACGAGAAATTGTTTTAAGAAAAAGTAATTTTTATTCCTATTTCTAGGTATATCAATCTCCTTATCAATTTTATGAATGTAATATTAGATTAAGATTTAGCATTAAAATGTAAACAACCAATATCTAGTTATTACAATAATAACTAATAAACCTATAAGCGACATCTAGTGTCATAACCTTAAACTATAAAGCTAGTAAACTCTTAACATAATACTGCCAAATGGCCAATATTTCAAAGTTCCATCAATAATCGATAGATGTCACGCGTAACACTTATTAATCATAACCTTAGGTATGCTAGTTTATGCCACACGATGTGAAATATCGTAAAGTTAGAATTCTTCTAAATATAAGTACATAATACCTGTTTATTTTATTATATTTCACTAAGTAAAAGGAACTAGTAATATTTATATAATTAACCGAATAAAATAAAAATAAATAACTGAAATGAAATTTATTATTATTTATCCTAAATAAAAATTTTAAAAGTTTGGGAATTTATAGTAATGTGTTTGATATCTGTAATAAAAATATTTCATACAGAGTATACAAGTAAATTTTATGATCTATGTACGCGATGCTAACAGCTGCGCCATCTATGTGATATGTTGTAAACAATTTTACTGTTAGGTAAAAGAAATTACTAATTATTAGTGAACGAAAATTCTATGAGTAGAATATACCTTTAATCTTTTATTAGTTAAAAGCCTTTTACAATACGAATCTTTGATTTTAATGTTATACCAAGTTTCATATTTAAATTTAAGTTAACTTTGGTACCTACCAATGAGTGCATCCACGAGTTTTTCTGCCACTTAAAAGTATATAATATTTGACAGATTTCATAATGGGGAAGTTAATTTGTTCGAAAAATGTGAAGGAATTGAATTCTCATTGAAATGGAATTTAAATATCAGTTCAAAATTCAAGCTATCAGTTTCAAAAAATACAAAACTGTTGTAAGAAGTTTCTATTGCAATTGCTGCGTAACTGCGATTGTATGAACCTATTTGTAGTCCTAGGTTCGATATTATAACTGACCTAGCAGCTTGCCAACGACACAGCCGTCACCTTTTTGTACTCCTCTTCACTGATGCCGTACGCCAAGTAGGAGTACGCGAGGAAGTCACTGTGGTTGGACACCAGCTGGAAGACTACGTTCCGTGAACCAGTCTGACCTCGAATCAGCTCGAAGGTGACCTCTCCCGATGCGTCCGTTATCGCTGATACCTCCAAGTAAGAGATCACGTAGCCTTTCTGTGGAATAACAATGTTTAAAACTAATTACATCTGCTTTTTTTTTAATGTCAATATAAAATATCAATAGCTGTCCGGTAATCTCGCTAAAGTTCGGAAACGGCTCGAACGATTTTGATGCATGTCGTTGTGCACGTTGTGTGCGTTTAAGTAGGTCCCTGGATGGTTTAGATTCACAATTTGATCCGGTAGATAGTGATGTTGTCGAGATCCAGAAATCACCCATGCGAAGCTCGAACGAATCGCTAGTAAACAACCTGTAATATCAAAATAACTGCCTTATATTATACCTACCTATAGATGTACAAACGTAAAAGAACCTATTAAGAACCAAAATGCAAGTGCGCTGTCACCTCTGAGACCTAAGATCGATGTCTCGTTTTGAGTAAAAGGGATCTTTAGTTCTCTACTCTCACCAAACGAAACACACGACCATTATACTCCTATTTTACGTATGTATTCTGTCGTTTATTTTCGTGCTGTAAGCCTATGCTGATCTTACAACTTCATCAAAAAAAATGGATATGAAGGCACATTGGGGCACAGTTATCATTACTCAAACTGAAAGTAATGGTATAGGCTTAGACTAATGTCTAATATTCGTAATATTATGTTTTAAATTTCGTTTTTATGGGTCTTAAAATGGCGACAATTTGCTAAACAGCCTAAACGGTATTTCGAGGGTCTTATAGTCTTAGTAGCTGCACTATGGGTGTTATGGATTATATTATGCAGCCATTAGTTTCTAATCAGTTCTATAATAGAATATTTTTATTACTAACGCTGTATAGCAGTTTTTTCATCATAACATATGATTCTCTTTAGAGGTACGTGTAAAAGATGAAAAAACTTGTCTTGGGAACAGTGTTGGATAAATTTAGTTTAGATTTAACGTGATATTTTAACTGCACCAAATTTTTTTCATTTTTCCATATATTGATAACAAATTAATTTCGTTTCACTAGCACATTATAAACACGCAGCGCATGCAAAATGGCGATATTCTGTCACTTATACAGTTTTAAGCTGTACTATGGTTATTATTTATTTTATTAGTTTTATATCACTCTCATAGACAGAAGTCATAAAACTACTTTATTTACAAAAGTGTACAATGACACCATAAGAATAAGTTTTAGAAGAGAGTTTGCGTACACCATTGTTCAGAAATAAGATTTTAGTGATACTGTAATATCACTTAGAGCTGTATAAGCAAGGGATAGCATGCCAAAAACAGCTCCTATACAATTTTAATGATAAAATCAGATTGTTGTTAAGAAATACTTAAAATTGTATAATAGAGTTTTCATATTCTGATTAAGAAGCCTAAGCTTACTTAGATCCTATAATACATACTTTATACAGCTTGAGCTGTATATTAACTCATAAACTCATTCTCATTTTATACGTGGTAGAGCCATGCTGCAGCTCTATTAATAGTATAGTTGTAGCACAAACGGGTCAGCTCTACCGGGGAAGGACCACGCTCTCACAGAATACCAGCGTAAAATAGCAGCTTAATGCTGCTGTGTTTCGTATGGTGAGTGTAGAGGAGGCCTTTTTACTGGAAAAGAGGCATTCTATCATAGTCCTCACGGCTGACAAGGCACATCTGCATTTTAATTCACAAAGTAGATGTCTATGGGCCACAGCAACCACTTAACATCAGGTGGACTGTGTGCTCGTTTGTCACCCTTATACTATAAAAAACACTCTTAAAAGGATATAACCTCTTTTTAACACTTTTATATGCTTTTAAAAGAACTCTAAGTTCTATGTGGCTTGGTATATTGATGTTCATAACGCTTGTGTGCTGCTTGGGGTGTTTACCACTGGATCTTTTGGGATATCACTCGTAAAGAGTGTAAAGAGGAGTTCAGACAGTACGGAGCCTTGTGGGACCCCAGTTGTATTCTGTAAGAGCGTAGTGCTTCTCCAGTAGAGCCGACCCATTTGAGCGGTACTATAGCTGCAGCGCTACCACGTTGAAAATGATTTTTAAGGTTTCCTCAAAATATTTACGAATTGTTCCGGGTCTGGGTGTTTTTCTATATGTAATTTTAGTGTCCATGATATAGAAAAAAATATCATGTATAGAGGAACGATTTTTAAAAAGAAAAAAAAATACAACCTGCGTTACGCATCCAGGGCACGTAGATAATAAAAGGTTTTATTTCATTTATTTCCGTTTGGACTTTTTCGCTGACGCGTACTGGAAATGGAATCAAGTCCGATGACGACAAGTAGACGAGAAATCTTTTTGCACAAACTTTTCACTTGTACTTCGTGCGTGTGACTTGCGCACAAACACAATGTGGAAGCCAAAAGTATTTCATTTACCTTTGCAAATTCATTGATAATTGTTGAATAATTAAGAATCATGTATTGGCTATTATTTCTACAATTATAGTACACATTTATGCATAATTAGAGACTAGATAACAGTGATGGGTCAATGACCATAAACCGCCTTTGTAAGTTAGCCATTCTTCCATTATTTATATTATATTATTGAATCCAGTTATTTAAATATCACATTATTGTGACAATGGTAAAAATTTTCTTGGGGCAAATAATGAAATTACTAAATGTTTATGATATGATGATATGATACGTTCAAGTATAGAAATTAAACATCCTCCCCCTCCCCCTCCCTTTTGTACTTTTTTCGTGGCTGCTGGACAAGGGACAGAGGTTGTGGGTAGCTCTGCGTACAATGCCATTCTTCGTGTAGCAGACATCTGCACCAGGATGTAACTTAAGCATTCCCGTAATTTCAAAGTTGGTGCATTAGCCTCTTTAATAATTGCCAAATACCCTTCCTGAAACACTTGTTCATTGACCTGCCATTTGTACCTTTGTTGCAATTCGCGCAAGTATTCCTTTCGCCAGAGTTCCCAGATATGTGGACCCAGCAAAAATAGCAGTATAAATGCCGATAGTTAGATTGCTTTCTACTTCGAGATGCAAAGCTTTTGAAGTGACACAATAATGAAACATAAACAACATTTTGCTATTTTGCAACAACGATCTTTACAGTTATAAAAAAGTGGCCCGGCAAAATCGACACCGCTTACGTGCAAATTATATTTGGAGTGACTCTAGTAGCAGGCAATTTTCCCATTATAGGATTTACAGACTTTTCTTTTATAGCTGACAGTTGTTTAAATTTGTTATTGATCTTAGAGCAACAACATTACGCTTGTAGATATTTACTTTGAGACTTTGGCAGTATGAACTTTCTCTCCAAGCGACAATTATTTGTGTGACATTGGCAGTTTGAACGTAAATAATGTTTAATTAATTATTTTATTTTATTTAATGTATTTGTGACGCATAATACACATACACATTTTAGCTTTCAGCGTTCCTTCTCTATATAAAAAAAATCTCATCAAATCTCACACACGTGTGCGCACGAGCAATATGCTTAAAGAGGTATGCATAGTTTAACGAATTAATGTGTACATTTTTTAGGACATAGAATAGTTTTTTGGTTAATATATACATATGTAAAAAGTTTTTTGTTAATATATATCACAAGAAATGACATACTTATGTAAAATATGAAAAATGATTAAAGTAAAACACTTAAACACATTTAGTTTCCAATTAATTCTAAATTATTTACGACTTTATAGTTTAAATATTTTTAGTTTTCATTAAAAGTTTATATACAGATTGGAACCTCTTTTATTATATTTTCAAAATTTAAAAATGTAAATATAAAATAAATAAAATAATAAAACCAAATACGGCGGCAAAATTGTTAGTAATTAGTTACGTCAAGGAAAATTAAAATTGTTCTACTGGTATTAATTAATGAAAAGGGATTAGATTGTTTTTCTTTTTGCATGCCGTAAGCGCCTAAGCGCGTCGGTATGTTCTACTAGAGCCTAAAAATTAAGATTCCAACGTTTTGTCGCATGAAATCGTATCTAGCAATCATATTGTACATATATGTATAAGTGATATAAAAATCACATTGTCAGAAAGATAAATGATTGTTGAACTTATTGATATTTTTTTTTAAATCGATTAATTGCTATTTTTAAATAAAAAAGGGGTTTTAGTGGCTTATGGTGTGGATTTATCAAGTCCACAAGGTTTGTAAACACTATAACTTTTGAAAATATCAATTTTTCAGCTCAATATATTTTTAAAACTCTTCATCTATCATGTGGGAATCCATTGAATGTAAATGGCGGTTTAATTTTGTTTAGTTTAGTTATAAAGCGCCCTCCACATTCGCGCCGTAAACACCTGTAAAAGCCGCGACCCGCGAATGTGGATGGCTTTCGCGCCCGTTCACGGGTTTCGCACCCTTTCACGCCTTGTTACCCGTTCAGTGTCGGTATTTTGCGCGCGTGTCAAAGGGTTTACGAGGCGCGAACCTCCCGCGAACGCAAGCGCATCCACACTCGCGCATCAAATCAGTAACGCACGAGACACGGTGCCGTGAGATTGTGCTTATTTGTATTTGTTTACGGAGGACGGTGCGTCAATATGAGCGTCAGTTGGACGAACGAGCAAGAACTCATGTTGATCGAGTGTTGTTATGCCGAAACCATTTTATGACATGCTAAACACAAAGATCATAAAAAAAATTAAAGTACATGACGCATGAATGCCAATAAAGGAAATAATGAGCATTGAAGTGACTGATTAAAAAAATGTATCTTTATCATCCATCATTTTCGTCTTCTCCATTTCTTTATTATCTTTTATATACACGTAATTGTAGTGAGCCAAAGCGCATAGCGTCAAAGCGATAGTAGTGCATATTTAGGCGTCCATTCTTGACGAGCGCGTGAACTAAACTGTGAACGAATACGAATGTGGAGGGACATGTTTTTCGCGACGACTTCGCGGCAAAATTACGGCGTGAATTCACGCTGTGAATCACACAGGAGTTTGGAGCCCGCCTAATAAATTTTTTTCGGCTGCGAAATGGCGAAATTTTCGGTGTATTCAGCAGCCTTGTATGAAAAATTATTACT